CTGAGGGAAGGAGGCGGAATTACCGGAAGATCAGTTTCCTAAACGAAACAAATTAGCGGCGTAATGGACGGCAAACCGGCGGCCGGGACTCCGGTTTTCACGAGAGGCGAGATCGTTTCACAGAAATACTGGTAGCTGCCGAGAACTTCGGAGATTAAGATAATTTTATTATCGTGCGCCTCGCTCCGGCTATGCCATTAGCGGGGAATGTTAATGGGCCGTTCTATCGACCCGAGCGGAACGAACGATTTCCCTCGACTAGGCGAGCTAAAAAATCTTTAATAGACACGAGTTATGCGTGTTCCTCTCGTCTAATGTATGTATGTACTTTAATCGCGCCGATTAACGGATCTCGCCTTTCCACAGTTCTCGGCGCCGGATCGAAAGTTATCGTCCTTCGCCTGTTGTCGTTTGTCAAGTCTATTTGTGCACGGGTTTTCATCTCGGGTTTCTCTTTTGGAGGAGGTGTGGTCACATCCTCACTCCAAATCGAACGAACGTGTGATCTCATGATCCTTGCACAGTGTTAACGAGTATTTATAATTAACTTAATAAAGAAAAGAAAAAAATAATAAGCACTCTTGCACGATACTCTTTGATTGTAAAGTAAGCAAAATTCTAAAAGGTTTGATAAAAGAGAGTCACAAGTCATTCCACTTTGAGGCTGCAGCTTGTAAACTCGTCAGTTTGCTGAAATTGCAAATTGCAATTCGAATTATCGTGTTCAGGAAACGGCGTTCCCCGATTTGCACAAAAAACTACCATTCAAACTCATTAGAATTTCCCGCGCGGTGCTTAATTTCATCCTCTCTCTTTCCTCTCTCCCTCTCTCTCCCTCTCGTCCGCGAAATTCCTGGTAATTCCCGACGAGGAGGAAAAAGAACTGCAAGAAAATGGGAAGAATTATTCATCGCCTGTTTGACATATTTTCCATAAACGGCCGGGTTCCTTTTTTTTTCCAGATGATCGGTACACATATTGTACGTGTGTGCGTGTACACACGCGTTACGTACGGCCACACGTGGTACACGCAGCAGGGGAGAGAGCAGGAGAGGAGGGAACGTGCGCGTTCGTCGTGGACGGGCGAGCGGACCGCGCAAAAACAAATGATCCGCCGCTTCCAGCCGCGATAAAAACCGGCGTCTGGATTAAACGTGCCTCTTGAATGGAGACGTTTTTCTGTAATGGAAAGGCTGGCCAGGCCGTAAAGAGAGAATTCATCCACGACCGATCGAGCACCTGCCCGGGCGAGCGAGCGAGCGAGCGCTGAGCCAGCCAAGCCAGGGGCCCACAAAGGGCTGCCCGGAACTTGTGAAAATAATTCCCTGCCTCCTCGAGGCCACTCTCTCTCTCTCTCTCTCTCTCTCTCTTTGTGCTCGGCTGTACGCGCCCCGATTACAACGACGACGCGTGTATACGGTCCTCGCCTCGCATCCAGGGCAGGTGTCTTTATTCCGAACGATCCCAGTATAGGCACATGTCATCCCTCATGCCGAGTAGTTGCCATTTAACGCGCGCACAAAGGTCGACGAAGGGACCGACCGGTCGCGAGCGAATCGCCGCGCCAGCCGTGAACGTAATTGCCCGGTAATTATTTTCCACTGGTAAATTGAAGCGATGGAAAGTTGGAGATATCGGCGTCACGCCGGGAGAAGTTGTTTGCCTAGTGGAGCGCACTTTTCGTACCGCTTTCGATACGCCGCCAGTACCGACTCTTCTCCAGATCGTTTTAATCGGTTAGCCGCGGTTCGTTAATCGTGTCTGATTGTTTGGTACGTTAATCCGTATTTTACGGCTTGGAAATTCGTAGCTTAGATGAGGAATTTATACCGCGGAGCTTGCGTCATGCGAAATTGCACGAATCTGGCGGGTACGAGGTTACGTTTAAGACAGTTTAACAGTGACACGTGGGAAATGTAAGGAAAGTAAGAAATTTTCTGCTCAATTTGTACTAAAGCACCTATACTGAATTCATTCAATTCTGTCGTACCGATTCTTCTTGAAACATTGAAAGCCAAAGTTTTGCTCGTTCTTGAAACATTCGACGATAAAACTGAAACGTACTGAGAAATTAATCCAGAGAAATTATTCTCTTTTCGAGAACGAAAAATCGTGTCTCTTGCCAACTATACCTATAGGTATTGATGATTTTATAACTCCACGGTTAGTTCGTAGTGAACTATATATTTATTATCTATAAGTGATTACAACTAAATAAATAAAATAATAAGATAAAACTCAAGACACTTTCTCTGTACAAACTTTTCGCTGACCGCACTACGATCGTTCATCTTTTCTCTAGCAACTTCTCTCCTTAAGATCTCCTTTTCTTTTTCACACATTCTCGCACGCCTTTATCCTTCATTTCCCAAACCAATTCACATTATCGGTAATTCAGGCTCCCAATTCCACCAACATGATGTTATGTAATTGTTCCGGAAGAACGTGTTGCTTGAACAAGAAGGCAAGTCGTCGAACGAACTTACAAAACGCACATCGAAGGAAATGTTGCGCGACGATCGGTTCGGGTCGTCGGTCGAAACGCTCGGAGCTCGTCGTCTTCGAATTGACCGCACTCGATCCTAGAGTGGCGTACGAGTGGTTTGGTTCACGGACGGACGAGCACGTTTCATTGTGCGCTGTGGGTTATTTGCGAATTATCGCCCCTCGGCCACCGAAACTGCTCTCTTGCACTCTTCACCGTAACGACGAATTCGCAATTCGTTCGTAATGGCCGGCACTCTGTTAGACGCAGTTTAGGTCTGTTAGTTTCGTCGAGACGATTCAGTCGTCGATGATAGCCCTTTTTTTATAAACGGAGTAAAATAGCAGCAGTGGGTTTTACTTTTAGTGATGTTTATTTTATACATTAGCGACACACGTGTGTTGCCTTGTTCACTGTGAAGGCTGTTATAATCATGGATACCTAATTTCGTCACTAGGTGTTGACGTATATACATCTGACGTAAAGATTAACAGTTACCCTATAATTAACAGTCGAATTATACCAGCGCGTTTCTGTTGGTACGATACCTGGGAAGAAAATTCAACCTTAACACGTCGGATGCCGCTTGTACCAAATTTACACACACCGAACGAAGTCTCTTCTGCTTCAACTTTTTATTTTTGTACATTTCTCCTGCTTTAACTTTCTATTTTTGTATACTTCCGACACGAACAGGGAAAAATCATTTGAAATTCAAGATCGAGATCAATTTCGAGGCAAGTACTTTTTACTTTGTACTTCCGTCAAGTCGAAGGTGTGAAATTCATTTGTGACAGTACGGCCACCGACGGAAATAAATTTTCAAATCTCCGCGCGCAAACTCGCATGGACGATGCGCACGAAGCAAAGCTCCTTGTCACAAAGTTACGCGACTTTACGTGCGCATATTGCTTCCAGCCACGGTCCATGCGACCACGCGAACAAAAACGCGGAGGAGAATTTGGTTAATTAAAATCGCGCGGACGGCCAGAGAGGAAGCTTGACGCCGCGCCGGAAGCTTGGTCGTCGACGCGCCCCCGACACGTTGAATCGTCCTTCGACTCAGGAATTCAAATTTTAATTTCGCTCGTCACGAACGTTAAGCCGTTCTGCAATCTCGCACCCCGATTGAAAATTGTGACGCGAGTTTCGCGCGCTCGTACTCGCTCGACCGTGCGCGAATCGCACATCTTGAACGGAGTCCCCTCCCCGCTCATTTTGGTTAATGGAAATGCTTTTTCTCCGGCCGAACCGCACCGAACGCGTGAAAGACAATCGATATTCGATTTGAGACAGACGTTGCGGAAATTCAACGTTGTGGAAACCTGCTCGAGAGTTATTGGTACGTGTACAGATTCGCTGGATGAATGGAGAATTAATTAAACGTAAAGTAATTTTAATTTTCGATCGGAGAGTAAAAGTAGGTATCGTTGACGGAAGAACTGGTGTGCACTCTGACTTGATATCGGAGTTTAATAACGCTGAAAAGTAAACGATATCTGTTTTAATTTCAAATATTTATTTGTACAGCGAGGTACGTTCTCGCAAGAAATATCTTGAGAATATTTTTATTTTTGATATTTAGTACTTATCGTGGATTAATATGTATTATAAAATATTTTACAATATATAGTATATAATAATATAATAATACAATTTGTTAATATATAGAGTCTTCAGTATGTTTTATATTTATTATGCTGTTTGTGTTGTATTTAATTTCAATTTAAAATTAAATGTAAATAAATTTTGTATTTAATTTAATTTCTCTGTATGTATATATTGTATAATATAATAATACAATATATATATATATATATATTAGTAATATATTAACAGAATTTTTATTTTGTAAGGCATATCAAGTATTCTGTAAAATAGCTATGTAAGTTTTGTAAAGTATTTTATATTTATCGTATTAAATTATATTGTACGTATTGTATTTACAATTTACATGTATTATAATAACATGTTATAATATTATTTAGGTATTGTATATTACACAATTTATACTGTTATATCGTGCAATTTATGTTGTATTTATTGTATATAATTTATTTTCACTGTGCTATTTTTATTACACAAACGTCGAGAGATTTCTGAGCGGGTATGTACATTGCCCGATACATGTCAGATATCAACGTAGACTTACAATCTCGTGAAACACGTACGTAATTAGAAAAGAATTTGTTCTCATCAACAAGTCGTTCTTTAACAGCTCTATTACAATCGGGTAAATCGCAGTAAAATGCTACAGCGAGAACAACAGGGCATAAAATAACGAAAAGAAACTTCCCTTCTATCCACGTATCTCTCAAGATTATCCAAGTGAATGATCCTTACTTTACAACGCACGTATATCACACGATGCGTATCGCGACCACACTACACGCAACTAGATTTCAACCGCGCGTAATCTTGCTGGCCACTTACCTCCCCATTTCTCTCAACATGCGCCATACTAACTATTTATACGCACCTCTGCTTCATACCTCTTTGGTTTTCATGTTTCCAGAGTCTCGCCGCTCGTGTCCACCTACGCAACCATGCCGCAAACTCGCAATTACACGGATCACAACGTATCAACAGGCAGCAGCGGCGCAACTTCGGTAAGTTCATTTCGCGGATATTTCCGCTTCGTCCGGACAGTCTGGAAGCTGACTGCCGCGTTTTCTCGCCTCGTGACTAACGATCCTGGCGGTCGATCGTCCGCCGCGATCGTTCCGCGCGCGCGTTCGTTGGATTCGAACGGCCAGCGAGAGCCGAACCGGATCGCGAGTCGATGAAATACACACCGCGGCGCGGAAAGGAGAAGAGAGAGAGACTTGCAACGCGCAGTAACACGAAACGGTGGGAAAAATAAAAGCGAGCGCGTCGCGGGGCACGAAATTTATGCGACGCGTTCGCCTCGTTATCGCCTAACAAATGAAAATCGCCTTTACGTCATCCGCCGCGGCGTGAACGCGGGTAGGATTTCCTATCCGAGCGTTGCTCGTTTCAAAACTCGCAATCGGACAAGAATCGCCAAGTAGCGTTTGCTTCTACTTCTGTTTCGGTCGGCGTGCGATATCTTGCGAGAACGTTCGCACGTTTGCGGCAGTTTAAAAAAGTGTTGAAGACGAACATTTGAGAAAGTTTGGATGAAGAATGGTGCACTAGGAGAGTTGCGAGCATAGGCCATAAAAAGCATTTGAACTCGATTTGTTACGTTGTCATCTAAATCTTTTGCAATAGATATCTCGTAAACTTTTAGATTAGTTTCGAATCACGACAGTCGCGTCTCATTACGATATCCACGCTTAAAAGTGAATAAAATTCAAAAACAAAAATTCTCGAAGTACAACGTTGCACATAAGTGACTTCCACGATAATCGTTTGAACACTTGTTCTGTTATATTATCACTAAACATATAAATAAATGTCTCGTAACTTGTGCGTAAGATTAATTCCAAAATTTAATCAAAATCGCAACAGTCGCGTCTCGTTACGATACCCACGAAATTTCCAGACTCGAAAGTGAATAAAATTGAAAAAAAAAAAAAAGAAATTCTCAAACGTACAACGTTTTCACGACAATCGTTCGAACACTTGTACTGTTATGTTATCACTAAACATATAAATAAATGTCTCGTAACTTGTGCGTAAGATTAATTCCAAA